TAGTGTACTATAGCTGAATGCCTGTACTAGAAATGGGAAGGTCACATCCTTGTTGCCATGGCACATTTAAAGATGGCATTTTAAAAACATGACTATCCTGCCTTAGTTTTAACTGTCTGTTGTTATGCCAATTGCTGTATGTTTTTATCCTTCTTTCTTCAAAATGGAATTGAAATTTACAGGTGGAACAACTGGTAATGGTCAAAGCACTGGGATTTGTAGTTGATAATGTTCCAGTTTGTTAAAAATAACCTAAGAGAATTTTGATTGGAGCTATAGTGCTCTTGAATTTATGTACTGAATGTTACTCATATTTTAGTGTTCTTGTTTTTCTTTCAAACTTTACTTTATATATTGTTTGTGTATTTTGGGAAGTTTGCTTGTGACAAATGTGTTACTTAAGAAGATCTATTTTATATTAGTGTGTTGTTAATGAATACTGATGATACAAGATGAATTTCTAATTTTATTATGTATCAGTCATCTTTTAGTTTTTCCTTTGGTGGCTCAGAACTTTGAAAACAAATTTTGAAGCATCATTTTGAATCTTGGATGCACCACTTCAAGTACAGTCTGGCATTCTTGAAAGCTGTCATTGTTGTGATTGCTGTGTATACAGAAATCCCCACCCTAACAGTAAAAGTGTCACCAGAGGTTTGAGACTTCACCCTAGATATCTGGAGATCGCCTGTTCTCTGTCTGGGTTCTTTAATTGATGCACTTGGAAATTGAAGCTCAGAGAATAGTGTGCATGGGGGCTGGGGATTTAGCTCAGTGGCAAAGCGCCTGCCTCGCAAGCTCAAGGTCGTGAGTTCGGATCCCGGTACCAGAGAAAAACCAAAACCAAAAAAAAAAAAAAGAGAATAGTGTGCATGGACACAGTGTTTTTCTCAAGTTCTCTGCTGTACAGGACCAGATTTTTTTTTTCTGATAATATTATGACGTATAAATATAAATGGAAAAAAATTTAAATAACATAGTTCTAAGTGCTCGCTGTCAACTTCTATGCTTGTCTTAATGTAGATGGATTACAAATAATTCTGGGGCCAGAACAGTCCTCTATACCACACTTCACATACACTGCCCAGGACAGGGGTTAGCAGTCTAGATCAGAAGCCAATGTTCTGCTTTTGTATGGCTTGCAAACCAAGAATTGTTTTTATGTTCTTAAATGGTTTTTGAAACTCACAAGAATATTTTTGACACATGAAAATTATATAAAATTCATATTTCACTCTCCTTAAGTAAATTTCATTGGAACAAAGCTGCTTTCATTCATTACTGTCTGTGGCTGCTTTTGCACTGTGATGGTAGGTAGGGTTGAGTAGTTCGACACAGAGATAGTAGGATTCACAAAGGCAAGCAGCTTCTGTTTGGCCCTTTACAGAAAAAATTTGCTTATTTCTGCCCTAATACAAAGCATGTAATTAATAGTTATTTGTGTAGTTGAAAGTACAAACAGCGTCTGGGTTTTAAAATACGTTTTAGATATTTAAATATTACCAGTAGCTAATAGTCTCTTTGCATACCACTTAGTTTTCATTTTAATTTTTCCAGCAATCTTCTGGCCTTTTATGAAAGTTAGATAAATTTAAAGTCCTCCTGGTCTAATTGTAGGTGCCTTTATGTTTTCTAAAACTCTTGAATCTACTAAGTTTGGAGTTTTAATTCATATTTTGTGAATTTAAAATGGTTAAGTATTTTCTACCAATGATTTTATTATCATAAGCATTGTACATAAGTTTACCCTGCAGTAGACATGTGTCTTCAATGAAAGAGGTATGCATGACCTCAAAATATTTAGGAAACATGTCTCAAAAGTATTACTCTTTCACTTTTTGTTTTGTTTTGTTTGAGACAGGGTCTCACTATGTAGTTTAGTTTACCCTCGAACTCACTGTGTAGTCCAGGTTGGCCTCAAACTCACGTCGATCCTCTTGCCTTAGCCTCCAGGATACTGGGATTACAGGTGTGAGCCACTACACCCAGCTGGCATTACTCTTTTAAAAGTTGCCTAAAACAAAATAAAAGGGCCACTAAACTGGTAGCAGATTTCTGTTGCAGAATAGGAAAGCTGTAATAGGTAAAATACTGATCATAACAAGGATTGCGGATTTAGGTGACTTTTGGAGGAGCAGTGAGGTTTTTAGTACTTTTCTTCTACCATTCTTTAAAAGCTGCAGTATGAGCCGGGTGCAGTGGTGTGTGCCTTGTAATCCCAGCACTGAGGAGGAGGCTGAGGCAGGAGGATTGCAAGTTCAACCCCAGCCTGGGCAAGTTAGCAAGTCCCATAATAAAGAATTTTTAAAAGGCTGGGAATGTAGTTTATGTGAAGACCCTACCATTAATCCCCAGTACTGCCAAGACAAAACAACTGCAGTGTGAAAGTTCCCATCATATAGTTGTCAAACTCTGAAATAAAAATATTCCTTTAACTCTTATATGCAACTAAAAAATATACTTTTCATGGGAGCTGTTATTTCTTTAGTTTTTCTACCATTTGCATGTGATTACTCTGCAAGTACAGACAGTTACCAGTTTTCATTTGACTCTTGAGTCTGTTTTATGATAAAGACCATTTTCAAATCTTCACATCAAAATTTCGTCCTGAAGTAAAAAAGAAATGTTCTTGCAAAAGCCGTATTTATTATGATGGATGCCTGACCACAGTTTGATACTCTGGTATTTGCTGTCTTATTCTCAACTCAAGAGTTTACAAACACCTGAAAAATAATTCTGTTCATTGTTTATATTCAAAAATAATTATAGGGGCTGGAGATGTATGTAGTTCAGTGGTAGTGTGTGGTTGTCATGTGCAAGGTCCTGGGTTTGATCCTCAGCACCCAGAAAATAACCCTTAGATAATACATAGTAGTTTCCTTTTTCTGTGGGAGATAAACACCTACACTACATGTCTGACACCACAGATAGTACTAGATCCTTTATAGGCTATATACTCTTTTCTTATTTGAACAAATCTGTGATAGTTTATAAATTGGGTACAGTAAGAGAATAACAGTAATAATATGATAGGACAGTTATCACAGTGTATTGTAACAAAACTTACTTTCAGTGTGATCTCTTGTATCTTTTGTAGTTTAGAAGTGCTGTAGCACAACCAGCATGGATTTCTTTTTCCCTTCTTCACAATATCATGGACAGAAGATTCGTTCTTACCATGAATCCTAACAACTTCAGCATATGAATTTTTTTCTTATTGAGAACTTTTACCTTTTCACTTAAAGGAAGTACTTTATAGGTTATCTTTTGGCATATCTAATTGTAAGCATCAATACTTTTGTGCATTAAGCCTATTATTAAAAATTACTGTTAGTATAACATAAACACTGCAATACCCTGATAATTGATCAGATAACTGAGATGATTATCATGACAGTAGGGTATACACTAGACAGAGGCATGATTCACGTCTCAGGTGAATTAAGCAGGACTATGAGAAATTTCATCATGCTACTCAGAGTGGCACACAGTTTAAAACTTATGAACTGTTTATTTTTGGAATTTTTAGTTAAATATTTTTTGAATGGTTGACTATAGACATGTGAAACTGTAGAAAGCAAGATTGCAATTAAGGGGGGACTATTGTAGAAAGATCTTATTGCATTTTCTCAAGCTATGGCTAGTTGTAATGTCCTTCATGCAACACTGCTCAAGATCTAAGATGAAAACTTGGGGCTTATCAATGGAAGAAGCTCAAAATTTGTAATCAAACTGTTTATTTAAACAACTTTTTAATATATAGGTTGAGTACCCCTTATCTAAAATGTTTGGGACCAGAAATGTTAATAGTTTTTGGAAGATTTGCATATGTATAGATAAGATATCTTTGGATTGGGATCCAAGTCCAAATATGAAATTCATTTTTGTTTCATGTATATACTATACACATAGCCCAAAGGTGATCTTATATGATATTCTTAGTGTACCTGTGTTTTGACTGTGACCCATCACATGAGGTCACGTGTGGCATTTTTTACTTGTGACATCATGTAGATGCTTAAAGTTTCACATTTTGGACAAGTTTGGATTTGGGAGCAAAGGTACTTAATCTACTTACTAGTTTATTGATTGGTTGGGTAGCATTACAGCAACAAAACCCTCCCATACCACACCCCCCATAGTACACATACACCCCAGATGGGGCTGAGAAATAGTGTGGATTAATAATACCTTACATCTGGCTTTTCCTCAGTGATTTTCACATTTGTAGGAATCTCCATACCTAAGAATTCTCTGTAGGTACTTTATCCAAGATAGTATGTGTCACATACTTTCCTTAGTATCTATTTCCATGGTGAACCTCTTAGAGCTTTCAGTGAGGCAAACAGCCCACTGCTGCACACATGCTATAGGTTCCCGACCACTCCTCTATTTCCTTGTAGTGATTGAGTTTGTTTCTAAAAAATTTTGATGGAAAAATTATTATAGAAGAGTTCTTTTTTGCAGCCTAACTGCAGAGGACCAGAGTTGCATGCATTTCTGTGTCTGTTAAACTTACAGTGAGTTTCATGTGTAAGTGGTGACCCACTAAAAGGCTTGCACAGTGTTAAAACTATTCTGAAGACAGGAAGCATTTGGAAATTCAGCAGTAAAGCAGCAGCAGCAACAAGCAGCCACAGTGGAGACAAGGCAGGCTCACAGTTAGCATATTTCACAGTGTGAGCCAGTGAGCACATAGCTTCCCCTACTGCTGCCTGAGGGAGACAAACCAAAACTGTACATTGCACGATTTTTCTACTTTCATGTTTATGATGTCAAGTCATGTGACAGTACTGTACCATAAGTTGCCAACTTCGCTTTACTCTGGAGTAAAGATCCATTGCTGCAGTGCTTTTTTCCTTTCTCTCTCTTTTTTTTTCTTGAAAGAGAAAAAAATTGTGCAATGTATGTTTATGCCTACACCATGCCGAGGCGACACTTACCAGTAAATAATCTCTGTATCCCCGAGGTAAGGTACTGTTTCTGCTTTCCCTGCACAGTGCTGCTGCAGCACGGAGCTGATCCAAATATTCGGAACACTGATGGGAAATCAGCCCTGGATCTGGCAGACCCTTCAGCGAAAGCTGTCCTCACAGGTAAGAACACAGCTACTCAATTATTTTTATCTGTGGGACTGTGAGCCTGATTTTATAAAATCTTTATACATTGAGGGTTTTTTTTATACTGATGAAGCTAAATAAATATATATGCCATTAACTACTACTTTATTACTGGTTGGGTATCTGTCTTATTAACTGCTGTGCTGTCATAAGCAATAGCATTGCTTATTCTACTTAGAATTGTAGCATTAAATCATAGCATGTTATTTACTCACATTTTATGGTTCGTATCGTAACGTTCTTATATCTCATCCCTTTCATTGTTTCTTTTTAAGACTTTTACTATGGAGCAGGCAAGGGCATTTGTATTACTGTAAAAGTAGTTTTGATTGGAAAGACAACCTGCTGCCTATTACTTGGATCTGTAGTTAAATAAAATACGCTGCTGCTTCTCCCTTTTCCGCTGGCTATATTTTTTATCAGATGTTGTCAGTTTTACCAGGATAGTCAAATTATTTTTAACTGGGAGAGTGTCATCTTTTCACGTAAGATAATGCAGATTTTGTATTAGTTTTACTAAAGCAAAGTATTAGTTTTACCACAGCAAATGCCAAGAACAGCAAAGAGGAAATGCTAGACTAGAAAAGACCTCTCATAACAATATAAAGAATGTTATAGCTATTATGATCTTGAGCAGCTGTTTTCATTGATCCTCATTCTCAAAATGCTGCATTGGCTCTACTTTTGTTTTTATTCTGAGCATCTGAGTTCTGCTGCCTTTGCCCTCTTTTACTTAACTGACCTTTGTAATTTGGAATCTCTGTCGTTGCAGTGCTAACAGTATTGTTTAATTACCTTTTCAGTTTGCCCTGTTTGAAGAAAATAAGTCTTCTGTTCTCATTTAAGTTTTAGAGTCCATGCTGTGCATTTTAAACGAAGATTTTGAGGTGAATGGAAAATGTTTATATACAGAAAGATTTGAACATATATAGCATTTCGCTTAATTATTCTACATAGATAACTTTCCACTATACTTAAATTAATCACTGCTAAATTAAGTAAAATGATTTTTCTCAATTAACAGAAGAGTAAATGATTTCAGTTGCCGAATCAAGGTAACATACAGTTGGGGAATACAGCTATTTAAATCAGCATGGGTAAGATATTTAAATAAGTCTTAGGGCTGCTTAGGTTCTTGCAGGCATTCAGTCTCTTAACAAAACCACCAGCAGCAATAGCAGCTGGTCTCTGACCAAAGGAGGAAGGTATTTGATAGGAACGGAGGTATGGTATATTATAAATGCTGAGCAGGACTCTCTGTATTCTCAGTGTCCTCCCTCTGACCTTTCCTCCTCTCCCAACTCTGAGTGCCTGCCTGTCTGTTTGTTAGATTCATTTAATGCATCACTGCTTTTACATCCACTTTTACTTTTTAAAACACAAAGTTTAAATATGAGTTATTAAAAAGGAGGAATTAACTCCTAATTTGTAGTAAATTTCAGGGAAGATTATGTTGGGAAAGAACTTTGGCATAATCACTCACAGAAACTGAAGGTTCCTGGAGGACAGATACTATGACTATTAAAATTGATTTGCAAACCATCTAGCGTTGTACTTTGCTTAGATCGGAAGATACTAAATTCTTTGTGGTCATAATATTGATTTTACTAATTGTTCTTTTCTAGAATGTCTACTCTTTTGGATATGATACACAACTTCTCGGATACGATTTAAAAGAAAAAGTCTACTAATAGTTTTGTTGAAACTGTAAATTGGCTTTACTTACATATTCACTTTATATAGTGTGATGAAATAGCACTTTGATGAACTGTATTCCACAGTGTTTTTCTGCCCATATAGGTTCTCTACTAACATTTCTTTCCAGTGGGATTATGGTGAAAGTATTATTTCCAAAGCAAAATTACAAGGATTAAGTATTAATTTAAAAGGGCGGAGGTATGAGCTGAGGGTATAGAATACTTACCTGGTATGTTCAGGCCCTAAATTTGATCCTTGGCTGAACAGAAGCAAATTTAGAAGGGAAGGTATTACCTTTTAAGAGTAATGTCTAAATTCAGAGTTATTAAACAGTATTTTGAATGATTTTGGTGGTATAATTGTAGTACCATTACTTGAGAGTCAAATTTTTGTTCTTGAATATTTTTTGTTCTTGAATATTTTTTCTATAGGAATTTACTTGCTGAAAATCTCTTTCTCACACCCCATCATTTATGGTATTGCTCTGCTATATTAGCCAGAATTAGTATAGGTATTCTGTATCTTCCTTTAAGGAAATTAGCAAAGTAAAAATCTATAGGGCACTTGAAAGTATATGCTTGATTAATGCTCTCTTACACATAAAGAGTGCATGGAGTTTTACAGTGTTATACAAAGCAATAGTATACCCTTAGTTTTCCGGTTAAAGGATCCTGTCATGCAGCCATTTGCTTTGGATTATGCTCTGAGGCATTTAAAAGTAAATTCTTAATTGGAAAGACTGATGAAACTGTTGAATTATTGTGTAAGGAGAGCATATGTTTAGAAATCTTCAGGCTTTTTTTGAGGAGGGTTGCTAATGACTTTGATATTCTAAGTAATCAACTGAGGAACTTGGAAATGTTTGGGGTTTTTTGTTCACTTTTTGAAAGTGAAAAGTCTAAAAGATCCTGTGTAAATTTTATAGAAGATGTCCATGGTGTTATAGTTATGGATTTTTTAAAAGTATCATATTTTGGCCTTTTTTCTCATTGTAAAAACAATACATTCAGAAACTGAGGAAAATAGGAAAAACATGAAAAAGAAAAAATTATTCATAATTCTGCCACCCAGAAATGACATTTTGGTATACTTGATATTCTTTTTCTCTATAAGGACATACGCCCTGCATTTTTTGTTTTAATTGAATAAACCTCAGTTTATTAGTTTAATTTAGTTTCTGCTAAATTAAATATATACATGTACATCTATGTGCAACATGGAACTTCCCAGAGGGCATTAAGTATTCTGCAACATCAGTTTATAATTATGTCATAGTATCATTCTCTGATGTATTGTTTTCCAGTGAATCCCCTAATGTTTTAACTGGTAGCTTGTTTCAGCTTTATTCTTTGTGAGTTGTCATTTTATCAACTTCACTTGAATTGTGCTTCTTCATCATCTTCAGGCTTTGCATACACAAACATGGTAGATGTCTCTATGCATGAGTGTAAGGTACAGCATGTGAAAGTTCAGGGAATGAGGAGCTTCCCTGTTAATGGGGTGCACTGCATGTAGTATTATTACGGGAGAGCTACAGTTAAGCTGGAGGTAGTTGACAAGAATGTTCCTTGATGTGATCTAGGAAGACTGATTGTTGTTCATGTAAAAGGGACACACTGGGGCAAAGGCTAGAAAGTAGCAGTGGGAAATTGAGTCAGACAGGGAGGTAAGAGCAGATTGAGACTGAGAGCTAAACATAGGTGACAAAGAAATGTTTAGCTTTGGCAGGCTCAAAGATGACTAAGATGTAAACTGAGTTTGGATGGTTATAAATTTGGCAAGATAATAGGTCCTCAGAGGAAAGGGAGTTGGAAGAATGATATATTTGTACTAAGGTGTCTCAGGAATTAAAAAAAAAAAGTTCACCTGGATTCATTGTATTTCTGAGAAAATGCTGACCTATGGCTGATTGCTGAGCGGTCTCCTCATCTCTGCAGAAGGAACCGCTGTGGCTCAGGCCATCTTACAGTGTTGAGGTTGGTGGGTTCCTGCTGAGACTGGTTTGGTGGATCAGCAAAATGTGTCTGGAATCCTACCTTTGGGGTGGCTCTTCTGCTTTCTGCTGCTTTTCAGATGAGATCCAGATCTTTAGAGTAACTACTGAGGACTTAAGTGGCCTGGCTTCTTTCTACTTAGGTTTGATACTAAGGTTTTACTCAATTCAAAATTTAGGTTTTCCTTCTTCGCTTTTTTTCCTTTCTTCACACTTTGTGTTCAGCCTATTGGTAATGAAGCTGCTGTATTTTCAGATTATCATTCCAGTCATTTCTCACCACCATGACATCTCTAGCCTGGGCCACACCTTCATCTTCTTTCTTCCATGATGGATGTCTCCACATTTCATTCAGTTCTTTTCACTGTAATTGGAGTGGTCTTTCTAATGTACAAATGAGCTCCATGTTCAGAACATTTTTTAACATATTCCCATTTTCCCTGAATTAAACTCAGATTCTGTACCAGGTTCATCATGATCTAGCAGCTGCCTTGAATATCTTTGATCTTACAGTCTCCTTTGATCTCTGTTTTAGTTACAGCTAAATGCTTCTTTCTATTCAAAAAGAGGAAGCCCCATTTCTGTTGTCTGGGGTAGCCCACGCTGTTTACTGAAGTGAACACTTTCTAGAATGTCTCTACCTTAGAGAAGACTTGTATCCCATTCATGGTTGCTTATTTTATTTTCTTAATGGATTTTCAATATCTGAAATTGCATTTTTGTGGTTGTTTGTCCCAGTAGAACAAAAGATTTCCAAGAGTTTAGACTTGCATTTGTCTTGTTCACTTCTTTGCTCCAGGACTTAGAAGAGTACATAAAATGATTAAATAAATATATCAAAGGTTTGTTTACTGGTAATTGAGTGCAACATATTTTCCAGGTCTTACAAACACTAATTAAGCACTAATTATTTGACATTTCGTGCCATATTATGAAAGCTTTAATAAATTACTTTCCAAAACTGGTTTTGGATTGCTTGTAGTAATGTATCACCTCTTAAACTGTATTTTTTAAATGTTTTAATTGGTATGATGCGTGAAGTATGTATTTAGTTTTATCGACAGATTTCGTGAATGGCTCCTGTGATGATGAGCATATCAGTTGTGGAAGGAGCACACTGCTTGGCACTGTCACATTAGACTCCAGATGGCTAACCAGGACCTAATGTTTACCCTGTTCTGTTGCTGTTCTTTTTTTTTTTTTTTTTTTTTTGGTTTTTCTCCGGTACCGGGAACCGAACTCACGACCTTGCACTTGCCAGGCAGGCGCTTTGCCACTGAGCTAA